GTCCCCCCCCCCCCCCCCCCCCCCCCCCCTAAAGCTGAGAAGAATGAAAGATTTCGGTTAAGAGTAAATAGAACAAAAGTAGGGTTGGTTTAAAACAATCTGTTAGCACACTTGGCTATTAAAACTGAGAATTTAAGTCAAAATCTAAATGCTGGCTCTTACATTTAATTAGGCTTGCTTGGTTCCTTTTGGTTGGAAGTATATAGCATCAGAAGGCAAAAGTTGTTGGCATTTTCACCTAACTGTAGGGCAGCCTAGTTTTCTTCTTAGGGAGGACTGTAGATCACCTTCAGAGCTGGGACTGGGAATGATCTTTGATCTGTCAAAATCCTTGGAATGTTTCACGTTCTTAGTAAGAGTTAACCAGTCACTGCGAAAATCCTGCGGCTGTGTTGATGTTGTTCAAATACAGCGTATGCAGAGTTGGAAGATTTGATTTTTTTCTTTCAATTTTTTCACATACTTGTTAGCACACTTCTACAATGTGAACACCTTACTTAAGGTACCCCACAGGCTAGATCATTTGTACTCTGGAATCCTTTAAAAAGCTGACTGTTACCAGTTTCCCAAGTTATCTGAAGGCAACATCAATATTTACATGGGAAGATTTATTTTCTTAATGTGCTTCCCGGAAAGAAAGAACTACTTTTTTTTAAGACCAAGTTTGAATGTTTTTCATCTGCATTTATAGTGTGTTCCAAGTGGAGGTGGTGAGAAGGTTGTTCTTCCAGCTTTTGTTTGATTGTTAGAAGTACTTTTAAATACATGAAGGACTTCTGGTTGACTTCTGGAGGGAGGAGAGGAAAGATTTTACTGTTGGTATGCACAGGCTCTGAGGAAGAAACCTGATGGATGAACTCTTTACTGCAAGCAGCTCAAATTTTTTACATACTTTTTTTTTTAGTGTTTAGCTGCATGACTTCTCAAGTGGTCGCATAATTAAAAAAAAAGATGTTGGCCTCTGTGGTAGAAGCTTTAGGCTAGGAAAGGTGAAATGTTACTCTCTTGTGAAATACGACCTTTTGAAAAACTTTTATTTGTGGCTAGCAATTTCAGTTGATACAACTTGTGCAAAACAAAATGCAAGCACCATAAATTGTACGAAGGGACTATCAAGTAACTCTGTTTTTCATTTGACAGTACTTAACAACTGTCATTCCTTATGAGAAGAAAAATGGACCTCCATCCGTTGAGGATCTTCAAACATTAACCAAAAGTGAGTAATGAATTGTCCCACTGATCTTTTCCTCTTTGTGTCTCCAACTGTGGCTGCTCAAAACCAACGAATCATCAGGTTACCTCTTCCCCCTTTACCCTGTGGCAGGTATGTAAAGTGGTGTGGTTTTTAACCTTTTGGCCAGTTTTCGCTTGTTTTCTGAGCCTTTACAGTATGTTTGGTTTCTAGCTGCTCTCTGAAACCCTGAAGGCTAGAGACTTGCGTGTATCGGAAAGTAAATGTTATGATACTATTTCAGCAGGTGGGCCTGATGAAAAATACTGCATGTCACGGGATTTGGCAATCCTGTCTTGTAGTCCCTGATACCCCTGTTTTCTTCAACTTGCCCTGCTTTATTGAGGTTATTGTAATGACTTTCAAAAGTTGGAATGGATGTTGGGACACTGAAGAGTAGTTGTATAATGATTGCACTTGACTGCCATTAAAATAGCCTGCTTTTCTCTGGGTTGGGTCTTTTTTGTTAATAAAACTTAATAATTAGGGAATATAAACCTAACAGCTGAATTCCCCTTCTTCACATCTTTTTAGGGCAGAGCCTCAAAATTATTTGTAACTTCAGTCTGCTTTATTTTGGTGGGTTTTTTAATTCTAATTTGCTTGAAAAATAAGGTGATATTTTTAAAAAAATAATTATTAAGGTGTTTAAGTGCAGCAGAGCAATGGGAGTTAATGGCATCTCCTTAATTTCAGGTTTATAGGAACAGTTTAAAATGAGATGGTAGACTGCGTCAGTGTATTCGCTCAGATCTCAGTGCAGGGCTTTGGATCTAACTACATGTAAGGCACTTTCCAGCAGCACAGGTCTGTGGTGCCACAGGTGGCTGAGGGATGGCGAAAGGCTCGTTGGTTGTTTCCTGGAAAGAGAAAATAAATATTTTGCAAATTCTGAAGTAAATTAAACGTTTCAAGCAGGAATTACATTCCCTTTATTTTTCAGCGGTAGGCACCCTTAGCTGGTAATTCGTACCTAATCTGTGACAGATGGATTTTTCGTTTTGTATTTACTCCTGATGAGAAATTTTATCCTCTTGCCGTATTTAAATTTCACTTGATAATCTTCTCAAAAAATCAATATTAAGCAGAGAGGAGGTTAAAGCCTCCTGAAAACGTTTTGTGCTGTTTTGATGGTTTATTAACAAAATATCTTGTACAAATGCGCTGCTGTGGGCTGCTTGGAACTTGATCCTGTGACTCAGTTGCAGATTTGTGACTCACTCTCTGCTGTTACTCAGGCAGACAGTAAAGCAGGTGTTTGGGGTTGGTTGGTGGTTGTTTTCTTTCAAAGCTGTGCATTACTGCCTGGTTATGAACACTGATGTCTTCAACATAAAAACTGAAGTAAAACGCTGGTTACCTTACAAGTTCAGAGTCTCCTATGAGGGACTAGGAGTTAATTCAATACCGCCATTTGGTATCATTCTGTACCTTTGATTCTTTCAGCACTTCGTAAAGGATTGCCATTGGTTTTGTGTACGGAGTAACAGACAGACTTACACGTGTCAAGTTCAGCTAGGCCAAATGTTTTTTCTTCTTCACCAATACGCAAGGATGGACAACTGACTTGTAAATCACAAAAGTGGCATTTTGGCATCATTCTCAGTTAATGCCAGGTTCAGTCATGTATTTAAGATTTTTCTAAGCTACAGCTGCTAGCGTTCACAATTTCAGGGGAGGAAAAGCTACCAGTGTTTTCATCAGATCACTCACAGATGTGTTTCTCTAGAAAAATGTCATCATTCCATGATTCAGATGAAGATCAAGGAAATAAATTAAGTAATGGAGCATACTTTTTTGCCTAAGATTTCCAACCGTTTAGTAGTTCTTTAGCACATTTTAGTTTTGGATGTGGTGACTTTTTGAGGTATTTCTTATAAGGAAGAGGTGCTTTTTTGTTGTTATGACTGATGACATTACATAATTAGCCGCCTAATATGGGTCTCTTGCATCCATGTGCTGTGGAGTTCAGTGAGAACACAAGGGAAAGGTGAAGATACGATGTCTCATTACATCTTCTCGTATTCCAGTTAAGAGTTTCCTTACTAATCTGGTAGTAATAACCCTATGAGTAGTTGAAACAGCTCTGTGGTATTTCTTTTGAGAATGTTGACTTTAATTTATGACTAAATATTTGAAATTTTTTGTTTGTATTTTAGTCCTGCATGCCATGAAAGAGGATAGCGAGAAAGTGCCAAGCTTGTTAACAGACTATATTTTAAAGGGTGAGTATGGGTTTTTTTAGCAGGGATGAGGTTGTTTTATTCTAAATTAACTAAATGAACGTACAATGTGTATTTGAAAAGAGTAGTCCTACAGCATTCATGAGTTATGTTGGTTTCTATCAAACACAGCTGTCATTTCTATTCTATTTTGTCTGAGGTTTCTGAGCATATAGTTCAGCAATAAAATGTGATTATTTTGTTTGTGATAGTATAATGCCAAGTATTGTGGTCTGTATTCAAAGAGCTGAAGGACATGAGCAGGAGCAGAGCAGTCTGGCATACAGAGTTAAATGGGTATCATTGAAAACTTGTGTTGTACAGGTTTCTCAGAATCAGAATTCATACTGCCCGTGGTAATAGTGCATTTGCTAGTTGAAGTGCTTATAGCTTCATTTTAAGTGTTACCTTTTGATCAATAGTAAAAATGATCTATTTTACATGTTATACCTTCTTCACATTTTATTTAAATGGTTTGTGTAAGAGTCATTTAATTTCCAGTCTTACACATTGATTATATTAATAGAATGTCAGACATTGAAAATCACCATTTACGTTAGCTTTAAGGAGTTGGTCCAGGTAGTTTCCAAGTTGTTAAATTACTTTAAAATGTTTTTCTTCTGTCTTCATTTTTGCCCAGATCTTACTGATGCTCATACTTAGTACCATTTATATGCCAAGAATTATCTTCTTTAGTGTTAAATTTTGGCATGTGCATCAAATTCCCAAGATCTGAACAAATGGGTGTACAAAAGGATAACGGTTGTCTTTTTATTTGCCAGCCAAATGTATGTTATGTTCATACGCTGCAAAGTTCTTCTGGGATCATGCTTTCCAGGTCTCACTGTTTTCGTAAATTTGACTTGAGTTCTTCTATATGGTGTTTAAAGCTTTTTGTATTTCTTACGCAGACTTCTAATCACTCTCTTACAGAGTTTTGAAAGGACTTTCAGGTTGAAATTGTGGATGAAATGTAGTGTGCTGTTGCTTCGGAAAATCTGAAGGGAGCGCCATGCAGTATTCTAGAGGCTTGCTGAATGAGGCTCATTTTTAAGTTTTGTGTAGGGTTGCGAAACTACCACATGCAGTAAGAATGCAGAGATCATTGCAGCTGATTCCTTGATTTTTATGTTGTTTACTTACCCTTTCTGACAATCCTTCTTAAATTAGACAGATGCATTTGCTTATGAGCTGAGAGCCATTTAGGCTCAAGATCAACGTTTTTTTAATGGTTATGGCACTAAACTTTAGTTTTGTACGGCATAATCTTTGACCCAAGAGGATGAACTGCTGTCAGTAATTAAAACTGTTTGCTCTTCATCGTAATACATCCAGTAGGACTGCTTAGAATGAAGAGTGCTCTGTACAGTGTCTGCTCTTACTTTTTGATGTAGCTATCCAGAAAAGCTTTCAGATGACTCGGATAAGGAGAAGAAACTGCCCGTGTTGGGAAATGCAGAAGTCATCTGCAGAGAAGGCTTGTAAAAGTAGGTTACTGAACGTACAACAGGATGATGATCTAGGAAGCTTGGTACTGAGGTTCCCTCCTACCTCTGCCTCTGCATGCTCGTGACTAAACTCAGCAGGGGTGTTCTATACGCTAGATGCAGCCATTAGGAAAACATCATACTTGCATTAAATATGCTGGATCAAACAGGTCGTTATGTACAAGCACTGTTGTCTCTAACTTGTAAAAAAAAAAACAGTGGGAGTACGAAGAGTAATCACATCACGTGCTGAAAGGAAAAGATGATTTCCCCTCAGCTACCACAATTTCACTACTGAACAGAACTAAGCCGTTCTTGATCTTCTGTGGGTCTGTTTGCACAAAAAGCAGTTGTACAAGATAGGATTTTACTCTTCCTTTCAGTCTAGCCTTAGGTAAGCTTAAGCTCGCTATGTTTAGATTTCGTTAAATAGTTATAGCTTGGCTGACAGCGTTACGTTATAATGTTGATTTATCCCGTGAAACAGGCGAAGCATTCCAATTGTTTTTGTTGCATTCTGTTTCTCTTTCTGCCACTGAAGCTTCTGGCCTGAAGCCTCGGTGAGGCTTCCTACGTGGCACAAAATACTCTCAGCCACCTGTGTGTTGTCTGGAAATTATTTTTAAAGCTCATTAAAGGGAGATGAGATGATTCTGTGCTATCACTTAAAGCTCACCTTTCAGCTCAGCTTTGTACCTGAAATTCCAACCTATTCCTTAAATTTCAGAATAAAAGGAGTGACCTACTTTTTGAAGAGTCTGCTCTCTTCACTGGAAAGATCAAGTGTGTATTTTCTCTGAATTTGCTAGTGTTTTGTAGAAATATCACTGTCTTGAATATCTTGAACTGAATGCCATAGTTCTGAAATTTGTGAAAGACTAGATTTGGATCACGTAGGAAGGCACACACAGACCCTTCAGTGTGTGTTGTCTAATACTTGATGTCTTCACTTATTAACGACTGAGTAAACTTGTTTGGCAAGGCAGTTTGGGCAAGAGCTGGAGCACAAGACTGGAACTTAAAGGAGAGTTCTGCAGCCAGATCTGCTATTGGTTCTTTATGTAGCTGTGGATCATTCTTGCACTTTTCCTAACTGGATAATGCTTCTGAAATGCTGCAGTCCTCAGAACATGGGATGTGCAAATCCCATATAATAAAGAAGTGAAAAAGGCCAATGCAACCTCCATATGCATTGCTGAATAGGATTAGTAGTGTTGAAGTTATTCTTTGCTTTTTCAAAGAATCCTCTTTTCCCAATTTCTTCTGCCCCCTTGTGTCACCCAAAACGTTAAAAATACCATCATTTTGTCCTCATGCTTAAGTCCCTCTTTCCGGGGATCAGTTAGCGCTCCCGTGGATCTGCTCCATAGGGAGAACCTCCTCAGAGTAAGTATCTCAAAGCCAGGCTGTGTACATACTCTGTGTAGAAGCTTGTGCAGTGCAGTAACTTACCTTCTGTTTGTGTTACTGAACAAACTGCAGCTGAAATTAGTTTCAAGGGAATTGTCTTCCTTTGGTGGGGTTTTGTGTCTTTTTACTTTACTTTTCAGTGAACATTTCCATCCTGAAGTTAACAAAAGGGACTTAGTGATTTGCTTTGCCAGTGTATCACAGTTCTCCCACCAGCCTATGAGTCATGCTGTATTTTACAGATTTAGAATAATAGATGGTAATGTGAAATTGATAAGCATTTGCAGTTGTGCTTAAATTCCTGTATTTTTAAGATATTAATATTGTTACTATCTTTTATCACAAGGGTCATGAAGTAGAAACTGAGATCTGGAAGAGGGTGGGGGAATGCAGTTGCTGACAGGGAAAGAAATATCAAACCAACCCTGTGAAGTTCTTGATCTTAGCAAGCACGCTTCCGGACTGAAGCTGGCAGCTTAGTAAGCTCACAGCATTGAAATGCCGTTTGTGCTCAACTTTCTACTCCTCTTTTTTGATGGTTTAACAAATATAAGGTGCTTTGAAAACATTGTGTTTGTTTCCATTTGAAGACCTACTCAAGCAAGTAAGCCGCAAGGTTTCTTGTGCACAAGTTAAGCTGTAGAGCAGGGAGCACAGATGGAGGTGGTTTTGTCATAGCTTGTAGTTGCATTGCGTTTAGGTGTCGCAACAAGAATAGGTGCCATATCCTTAGATGAAAGCATGTTTGTATTGACAAATTGAATTTTTTTTTTTTTTACAGAAGCTTTCAGTCTTTCTTCTTGCATGTATAATGTAATGACTTTCTGTACTGTGATTTATTTTTCAAGTACAATAAGGTAGCAAATAGTAACGTCAGTAATCCTTGAAGTATGCAAGTTCAGGTTGCTCTCTGCCTCTGTGCAGTTGTGTTGTCTCTCTTCAGCCTCACAAATAATAATTGCCAATTTCAACCCCACAAGAGAGGAAGAAGGGTTGCAGGAATAACCATGTTCCACAAATACTGTAGGGAACTGCATCTATGTAGGAGGAGGACTGAATCCATTGTTTCCATTGAGCTAAAGGCTATTGGCTTTGAAAAGCCAGCATTCAGTTGGCCAGATAACTTTTACGCGTGTTCACGTGCCAGTGAATGCACTTACAGTAGCTCCTATCGGTCTGGGGGCATGAGGACAGAGGAACGATATGGAGAGGACCTGCAGGGATGGAGTGCGTCGCAAATTTAAAGCAAAAGCTGAGAAGGGCATCATGGGAAATTGCATCATTTTGTATTGTTAAGAGAGTAAGGAGGAATATCTGAGGAGATCTGCTGGAAGCAAGGGTTGCTTAATTTAGCTACTTATGGGACAAATCAATGATACATATGAAATATTAGTCTGTAGATAGACACAGAATCAAGATGTTGACTGTAGGTTGCATGGCATCTAGACACATTATTACAAGATTTTTAGTTTTCACTTCCAGTTTTTACACAATCTTAAGATTTAACTTCATGTACAGGGTTAATTTTTGATTACAACTTCCTACCAGTATGATACGCAAAGTGAATAAATCTGTCTCTGTACCGCTGCAAGGTTTGTTTGGTTTTTGGTTTTTTTTTTAATTCAAGAACACATGTAAGTGTAAATAATTGTGACATTCTTAAAACATAACTATTATATATGACAATATATAAGTATGCATTTATAGCTGAATTAAATGCCTTTGAAATCAGATGTGTCATTATGGTAAACTGTTCTAAGATGTATTTATTGCTAAGCTTTGTGTTCTTTTCCAATTGTCCTTAAACAGTAATTTTGACATAAAAATGCACTGCTAAAAATAATACGCTATACATTACCATTGAGCAAATTGCATGAAATATGTCTAGCAGTATTTTCTTCTAGGCTTTTTTTCTGAATGTAGATGTCATGAAAGCAGAATAATTTTCCATCTTCCAGCTTGCTTTGCTATTTCATATCTGATCTTTCAAGCTTCTAGTACAGGGCAAAAAAACCCCACAGTTTCTTGTTTTAATAAAGCATGAATTTACGCTGTGTTCTATTTTAAAACTATGCAAGTATTTCAAGTAACAAGAACACTTATTTTCTTGCCTCTGAAATTTTTGTTTAATTGTTACACCTGACTTCTTTATTTGCTTTTGTATTGTGCTAGCATTGGTTTGAAAGCTGGATTGCTCTAAGGTTTGTGTCTTACATGTGAAACAGGAATGAGGAACACGTGAAGGACATGTCTTATCTTCCCACTGTGTGATTCACGTACATGCACCAGAATTAAAAAGTAGAGTTAGAATCTCAAATCGTCAGTCCGTATTTCTAAAATATAACTGCATGTGTCACCTTTTATTTAATGTTCTGTTTTCTAATACACCACCTTAAAAAGCACTGTTTAAGACATGACCTTTAGTTAACTCATTTCTGCATATACTAGTTAAATATAGTGGGTTGTGTCACTTAATTATCTTTTGAGAAGAGGATGATATCTTAAGTGCCAGTTCAAATTGATTTCTAGATTTTACTCTGTTACTAATAGGGTAGAATTCAACATTTAAGTATTTTAGTGTATACAATGCATTTTTATAGAGACTAACTTCACTGATGTTTATCAAGACATATTTGTGGTTCTTTTGCAGTTCTGTGTCCTACATGAAGAGGGCTGCTTTTCAGAGTAAGCCACGCTCCTTCATCTGATGAGAAGCTTTCCGTGGATATAACTCATAGTGTTTTTTTCATTTGGCACTATATCTAAACCAGTATGCATTTACCTCCTCTGTGTGTGCGTGGATTTTCTGATCCTACAGTAAGTCTTCTGGGCATGACAACTCATCCATTTCAACTTAACAGTGCAATGAACTGGAGCAGGGAACAAACATTGTACAGTTTTACTCACATTGTTCTGGCTTTTTAAAGTCTATTTTTACATTGTATAGCATGTAGTAAATCCTCCTGCACATTTTGTTGTTGGAAGGAAAAGTAAACTTTGAATAGTGTAAATAAAATAAGCCTAGTTTTAAGGAATCCATATTTAAAAGCATCCTTAGTTCCTGTAGCAAAGACGCTGTTGTGGTTTAACACAGCAGGCAGCTAAACACCACACAGCCGTTCACTCACTCCCTCACCCCAGTGGGTTGGGGGAGAGAATCAGGGGGGGAAGAGTGAAATTTTTAGCTTGAGATAAAGACAGTTTAATAGGACAGAAAATGAGTGAATAATAATTATGATGATGATAAAAGAATATATAAAGCAAGTGATGCACAATGCAATTGCTCACCACCTGCCAACTGGTGCCCAGCCAGTTTCCAAGCAGCAACCCCCAGCCAGCTTTCCCCCTAGTTTATGTAGTGTGCATGACATCGTACCGTATGGAATATCCCCTTGGCCAGCTGGGGTCAGCTCTCCTGGTTGTGTCCCCTCCCAGCCTCTTGTGCCCCCCCCAGCCTCCACACTGATAAGGCAGCGAGAGAATCTGAGAAGTCTTTGGCTTAGTGCAACAACTAAAACATCAGTGTGTTATCAACACTGTTTTCATCCTAAATCCAAAGCATAGCCATATACCAGCTACTAGGAGGAAAATTAACTCTATTCCAGCTGAAACCTGGAGAGATGCAAAAAGGATCATAGTTGGGCTTGGACTAAAAGATTCAAGTGAGTTCTTCAAGAAGCACTGCAGAACAGTGTTGATGGAAGTCAACGTTTGACACTTCTTTAAAAAACTGTAGCTGTGATTGAACAATTCTGTTGTATTGTTCATACAGTGGGCAGATCCAGATTCTTTGATGTTTTGGCATAAGTAATTGGTGCGTTACCTGTCTTGTTATTTAACAGAAACATCCGAGTAATGTAGTATTTCATATTGGGTTTTATTTTAATTAGTAATGTTCATCTAGCTTAGCTACTCTCCCATATTGCTGCTATAATTTTACTGGGTTTTAATAAGTGTTTGATCTTAATGAAAGTGCTTCAATATATAAACATTTTAAAAGGCTATATCTTTTTAAAAATACCTGTACAGTTTGAAAAACTTGCACTTGGGTTCCAACTTGGTATTATATTGAGACGTTCCTTGTTGTGTATCTCTAAATTTTACTATGAATCGCTCTTGTAAATTGTATGCACGGTCTCCTTTGTGATGATATATCTGCATTCAAACAGAAGAGAATGTATTTTACAAGTCCTGTACAAGAAATGTACCCCGTAATCTCAACATTAAATACTTGTCACAACTAATTTTGCCAATCTTAAAGATTAGATTTAAATATAAGGAGTATTAATAAAAATAAAGGAACTATTTTCTACATTGAATTCCTATTGATTCCACACCCAGGTTTATAGTGTATATGTGAAGGCACTGGAAAATAAGGTTCTAACAAGATAATCATGTCTTGTCTTCAAACAGGTTTTTTCCATTTAAAGTCTTCAGCCTTTTTGTTAGTTGAAGAGGAATTTGTCCCTGAATACCTCATATTACTTTAATATTCAATTTTATCATTCTCACCATAGACTCATTTTGGTCGGTAAAACACATTCAGTTTGAAAATAGTTCTCATAATGTTTTCTTTTTTTTTTTTTTTTCTCTAAAGGCCTCAATATTTTTCTTCGTGCCTTGTTCAGTCGGTAAAGTTTTCAGCTTGAAATTCTTTCCTCCTTCCCCTCCCCCACTTGACTGCCAACAGATACTTGCCAGCCTGCTCAGGAATAAATAGAATCCTCTGCATTAGTTTGTATATGTGAGGAAATGCTTTTTCTTGCTTTATTCTTTTTCACGTGTGGTTCCTCTAACAAGAAGGTTGCCATTTATTTCTGTAGCTGACACGCTGTGACCTCATCATGGCATGTTTTTTCTGTAGAAATGCTTGATGTTGAGTGCTGATGCCTGGAAATCTGCAGAGGGGGTGACTGCTTTGCTGCCTCTTTTTTTTTTTTTTTTTCTTTTTTAAGATTCACATGTTGTGAAACACACCATGTCTCCACATGAGATCTAATCAGAGATGTTTCAATCTACTTTTGAGGCTTTTGGTGACAAGCTGGAACAAAAAAGAAAATTCAGAATTCAAAATTCAAGAATTGAAAAAAGAACCAAACACAACCTTTTGATAAAATTTGTTAGTTGTAGCAAATCTTGGATGAACTAAACTCACAAAATACTAAAAGTAGTAAAACTTGAAAGAAAGTCCAACACTAAAGACTAGAAACATCTTTAGTGAGCTAAGCATATTCTTGGGCATATCATGACTTGTTTAGTCATCAGACTAAACAAGAATTTCATTATATAAAGTACCTGTTTTCCTTGTATGTAGAATCCTGTCCTTAAACAGCAGCTGCCAAATGTGGCAAATACTATATATAAATCCATAAAGTATATAAAAAAACAAATCTCAAAACATTTGAATTAAAAGGACCATGCAAATCTGCTCTTCTGCGGAGATCTATGTACTTCATGTTCTCTATTATGCATGCTTTCTCCAGATGCATTATTGAATCTTGCATTCTTTCAGGGAGCTGGATTTCATTATTCTTTTTAGTTTTAGTATGTGATAGTGAAAAACAGTCACGCAAGAACAGTTGCTGACAAATACCCTAGAAGAGATTTGGTAAAAAGACATTTTTACCAAAATCTGTTCCATTTTTAGTATGAAGAGTCCTGGAAGAAAAGTCTCCTTAAAATCATTAGATTTTAAGTTACTTAAAAGTTAGGCTATTTGTATCACTTGCATTCATAGGTTTTTCTTTCCTTTCCCCTGTCCTTTTTTTTTTTTTTTTTTCTTTAATCCAACCCTTTTTCAGCTCTTTAGTTTGATATAAGCTTATTCACTTGCTGGGTAGAGTCAAATTTTGAGTCAGGGAGTGTCTGGACAATATGTCAGAGGTAGACAAGAGTCCTAGGATTACGTTTCCTTGGTTAAGGAAGAAACTGAAAACAGTGTCAGTTCCCCTCTGGTGAGAGCTGGACTCTAGCTGGTGTCTGTAATTGGTGATGAAGAATGTATGCTGTTGACTCTGCCAGGGAATTGCATCCTGGATCTCGAAGTGGTGGTTTTATTGCAGCAGTTTGCATCCTTGTTACTTCCAGACTGGATTAGCTTGGTCTTCTTTCTGCATGCCTGTCACTTGGGAGCTGCGGCTAGGCCAGAAATGCCACTCCGTGTGCTCGGGGCGGTGTAGATAATCAGGTGTGTGTATCTGCACAGTATCGCTGCTGCCTCATTTCCAAGGGGACAGTTTAAGATACAGGTTTCAGCTCCTGAAGTTGTAGATGGTGCAGAGCCAGCGTAGCAGGAAACCTGCTTCTCCGGCTGTGGCAGCAGTGGGCAGTGGAGATCAGCAGCTTGCTTCACGTAAAACAGCATCTACCCAGTTCAGTTGGGAAGGGGCTTGGAAGCAAAGCGTTCTCGGCTCCGATGCACCTGAGACTGAACCGGCTGACTCCTCTTGTTCTGCAGAGCGTATCTTTGTTTTGGGCACTGGGGCTTTATTGTAACGGTAACAGAGCCCTTGTGGGTTTGGAGGTATTTTCTGATCCAGGTATCAATCCTCATTTTTAAAACTTCGCGTGAACCTCCAAGTTATCCATGGATGTAGTCATTCCAGAAACCGTGAAAACACTCATTCAGTAAAAAATTAAATCTGAGAACAAAATGGATCTTGAATCATGTTGGGTGAACTTAGTGTTCTGCTTCTCTTGGGGCCATGGCAGTGTTTATTTCAAGCCTAAAAGGAAACAGATTGTCACACAGGCAATCTACCTGTTCTGAGGCTGAGAGAATACAATTTCTTTTCAAGATGTCAACAGTTGTGCAGGTAGCAGTGAGCACCAGGAGGGTTTTATAGGGCCCACCTAGTGATGGAGTAGTGCTAGATACCTTCCTTGCAGAGAGTTGTAGTATCACTGAAGAAGTAATGCTTTCATTTTCTGAAGTGCTTTGTCCTAGCTGGTGAAATGAAGTGTCTTGTTCTTTTGGTCAGGAGCTAACTCAGGTTTCTTACCTCTTTGTTTTAATGTGTCGATCAGCAGTGGCTCTCTGGATTAGTTGATCAGTGTCCAGTCCCAACAGTAATGGTTGAAGAAACTGTATGAACTGGGACAACTAGTTACTGAATTTTGTTGCTGTCTTTCATTTTTCTCTCCTTCGTAAGCTGCAAAAGTTGCACTCTTTGCACTGAGTGCTAATTTAAACAGAGCTTGTAGTTTTGTTGTTCATTTTCTATTCCATCTTTGTGTTTGGGGGGTTTTGTTAACTTTATGTAATAAATCTTATTTTTAATTTTCTGTAGCGTTGCATGCAAATTTATGAATTCAAATACATGTTCCTTGAAACAGCATGTTATCACTTAGGCTGAATACAATGGGATGAAAACCTCAGCAAAGAAGGTAAAGTGTTTGGATTTTCTTGATGGGGAAAATGTTTGGAGAATGCCCCACTTCTTTCAGCTCTATGGAAAGCCAGTCCCGATCCTACATCTGTTTGTGTTGATATGCAAACCTGCACAGTTCTATGGCTTGATGATATTCAGGGGACTGACCAATTCAAAGAAAACAATCCAGATTTTCCCGCTGACTGCACTTTTGGCCTTCAGCAATATTCCATTGCCCAGCTCAAGCAGACTGGTGTACAGGAATACTTTTGAGTGGAATGGCAGCATTGCTGTTAAAATGTCAGGTCATTTGCAAATCATTGGCTGCTTCCAGGAATGTTTCTCCTTCTGCTTGTATTAGTTTTCCTGTGAAGGCAATCATGCAAGGTAAGCCCCATATAGGTCATGCTGCTTTTCTGTCTCTGGGGTTGGAAGATTCCTAAATTAGCGTGGAAGTCCCTCAAAACACCTTACAGCTATTTCATTGTGAAAAAACACCTCCACAGTATTAACTGCATTCATCTCTTTCCAACCTCAGGAATGTAAATTGTCCTTAAGATAAATTTGACAAAGACAAATGCAGAGCCTTTTCACTTTCAGTTCCAGCAGAAGTTGATGATGTCTGCTAGTGAGAGCATGAAAATAGTTGAGCAGGGAGCCGCTTCCCT